GCATGGATCCATGGCCCTGACCTGGGACTTGCTGTGCCCTCCAGGGATGATGCTTTGGCATGCAGGAGGGCCGGGCGAGAGGCGGGGTGAGACCTCACAATCCTCCCGCTTGCTCTGCTCTCCAAGCAGAAGATGGCCCGAGGCTGACACTAAAGCAAAGGACACAGCTGGGGACACCCCCCCACAAGTGCACAGGGAGGGTGCCAAGGCAGGAGGGTGCCAAGGCAGGAGGGTGCCAAGGCGGGGACTGCAGACTGGTGATTCCCATACCCAGAACCTTGGCCGGCTTGCATGCATGCATGCATGCACACACACTCACTCACTCACCCACTCCTGGAGCAGCGACTGCAGGAGAGAAGGGACAGAGGCCCCCAACGCAGCAGGAAGACAGTGACACCCCCAACCATGCCCTAGAAACGAGGTCACATTCTGACACCACTTTCTTCTTTGAAAAAAAAATTATGTATGTGTTTGAAATACAGAGTTATCAAGGGACAGGAAGATCTTCTGTCAGCTGGCTCACTTCCCAAATGGCCACTTAGAGCTGGAGCTGGGCCAGGCAGAAGCCAGAAGCCGGCGCTCCGTCTGAGCCTCCCGCGGGGGTGCAGTGGCCCAGGCGCTCAGGCCATCTGGCACTGTTTTCTCAAGCACGTTAGCAGGGAGCTGGGTTGGAAGCGCAGCTGCACCACAGCTCCACCCCTCATGTGAGCTGCTAAAGACACCTTGCTCTTTCTCCCCGCTGCAACCCCAGGACCTCATCAGTGACCACCGAAGGCGAGCTGCTTCCAGCATCTGCTATGGCCCAGACCCAGCCAGCTTTGGGGGCTCCATCAGTCCCCTTGACCTGTGCGGCCCCGGCCAGCAGTGCTCAGGGCTGACCTTCTCTGTCAGGATGGCCCCGATATGCTGGGGGTCCAGGAAGCAGGCTGGTCAACCTGGCCTCAGCTAAGCTAGGTTCCTGCCAGCGGGCATGTCGGCAGGCAGAAAATCCAACCACCCTGACGGCCTCGTGTCTCAGATCCTGGAACTCCCGTGTGGCCTTGCCCACCTGGAGGGTGGCTCGGGTCAGTGCTTTGAGGGACCTGGTGTGGGGAATGTGGCTGAACCCTACCACAGTGCCAGCTCTCCCGGCCCACCCCCGCCCCACTGCACCTGCCGTGGAAGACCCCTAGAGACACATCTCATTCACTGAGCCCTGCCCAGCCACCTGCCAGCAGAAACCCACCTGGCAGTCCCAGATCCCTCCAGAACCGGGGGTGCTGGAATCTCCCCGAGAGCGCGGGAGCAACTGTGTGACTCTGTCCCCGTGAGCCTCTCTCCACGAAACACAACCAAGAACCCTGCGTGAGGCAGCCCAGCATGGTCACAGGCCCCCAAGGCAGGTGCGGGCAGGAGCATGGGCTGAGCACAGGGCTGCCCTCCTCCCCTTCCTCCTCTGGCTGAGGGCCACCCACAAGTGGCAGGGAAAGGGCAGGCAGCTGAACAAAGGTGGGTGAAGGCGGCAGGGCCGGGGCACCCAGGCGCTGGAGACACCTGATAAAATCCCAGGTGGTGTGCAAGTGAGGTCTGTGGGAGGAACCCCTGTGGGTGGCGGGGTCTGGGCCAGCCAAGACACAGCCATAGTCTGAACATTCAGACAGACCGCTGGGGAGTGAAGTGGTTACGGAGCGTGTAGGCTGTTGGTCACCCACAGGCAGCCTCCAAGTGACGCCCACTGTCTGCAGGTCTGGGCGACTTTGAGGCCACGTGTGGCTCATGGCAAGTCAGTGAGGCTGCGTATTTGTTCTGTCATGGAAATCTGATCTCATTTTGTGCTCACTGTGTCAGGCTGCGCTGGGGAGTGTGGCTGCGGTTAGGGTGCCCTCTGTCGCTGGACATCCATGTGGCTTGAGCAATGCGATAGCCCTGAGGCTGGGTCAGAGGTCCTCAGGCTCCCAGGCCCAGGTGTGTGTGTGTGTGTGTGTGTGTGTGTGTGTTGTGGGGCAGAGGGGGATTTTCCTTGGCAGAGCTGTGTGTTGAGCTTTCTTTTCCTTCTCAGATTGTTGGCAGCATTACCAAGTGGAAGATTGTACATCACATCCTTGTGTACGCATGGCTGTGTGCACACTCGGCATAGTCCAGGGGCTGGGTGGGGGCACGTCCTTGTGTGCGCATGGCTGTGTGCACACTCGCATAGTCCAGGGGCTGGGTGGGTGGGGGCACGTCCTTGTGTACGCATGGCTGTGTGCACACTCGGCATAGTCCAGGGGCTGGGTGGGGGCATGTCCTTGTGTGTGCATGCCCGTGTGCACACTCGCATAGTCCAGGGGCTGGGTGGGTGGGGGCACGTCCTTGTGTGCGCATGGCTGTGTGCACACTTGGCATAGTCCAGGGGCTGGGTGGGGGCACGTCCTTGTGTGTGCATGCCCGTGTGCACACTCGCATAGTCCAGGGGCTGGGTGGGGGCACGTCCTTGTGTGCGCATGGCTGTGTGCACACTCGGCATAGTCCAGGGGCTGGGTGGGGGCACGTCCTTGTGTGCGCATGCCCGTGTGCACACTCGGCATAGTCCAGGGGCTGGGTGGGGGCACGTCCTTGTGTGTGCATGGCTGTGTGCACACTCGGCATAGTCCAGGGGCTGGTGGGTGGGGGCACGTCCTTGTGTGCGCATGGCTGTGTGCACACTCGGCATAGTCCAGGGACTGGTGGGGGCACGTCCTTGTGTGCGCATGGCTGTGTGCACACTCGGCATAGTCCAGGGGCTGGTGGGTGGGGGCACGTCCTTGTGTGCGCATGGCTGTGTGCACACTCGGCATAGTCCAGGGGCTGGTGGGGGCACGTCCTTGTGTGCACATGGCTGTGTGCACACTCGCATAGTCCAGGGGCTGGATCACCCTGCCTGGGGCCGCCCACCTCTCTGTCCCCAGGAGCAGCGGGAACATGGGACGGGACTCCCCGACAGGGGGACGCCTCCCAGGCTGACATGGTAGCGTCCGGAGGTCACTTGAGAGAGCGCCTACCCTAGACAAGGGGAGTGGGCAGGATACTTGGAGATCTGCAGGTGTGTGCCTCGGGCCCTCGGGAGCCGCTGCAGTGTGAGCTCAGCACAGCCACGATGACGGCGGGAGCCCGGGCAGCCGTCTTTCCTTCCCCGGGTCCAGGACCCTGCTGTGGACAGTCACGGGAAGCAGAGCAGTGGCTGCCCGGTGTGCCGTGCCGTGCGCACTGGAGCAGGTGTCTGTGTGCTGTGCGGTCTGCAGTCATGGCAGGATTGTGGTTTTTTTAAATATTTTTATCTGAAAGGCAGATTTTACAGAGAAAGAGGAACAGAAAGAGAGATCTTGCATGTCTGGTTCACTCTCCAAATGGCTGCAGCAGCCGGACCTGGGCTAATGCACAGCCAGAGCCTGGAGCTTCTTCTGGGTCTCCCACGCGGTGCAGGGCCCAAGGTCTTAGCCCATTTTCTGCTGCTTTCCAGGGGCGTTAGTGGGAGCTGGTTCAGAAGTGGAGCAGTGGGGACTTGAACCAGTGTCTGTACTAAATGCCAGTGCTGTAGGTGGCAGATTGGCACGAGGGGTTGAGTCTGCTGCTGTCTCGCGTCTTGGCAGGTGGCGTGCCTGGGTTTAGTGGGTGACGAGAGAAGGGCCTCCTGCTCCGTGCCCGGGCCCAGCCCCGTGCTGCTCTCTGCCTCAGGCGCCGTGTTTGCTTCCGCGGGTCAGTCCTCAGCCTTAAGGCAAGCCTTGGCTGTGGGGTGGCAGAGGACGCCCCGCGCGTGTCTGCCTGGCCCACACGTGGCTTCTGACACGTACAAACCATGTCGCCTGTGGTCAGGATCCCAGGCTGGGCTTGGGCCCGGGACCCAGTCACGGCCCTGAGCCGACAGACGGAGAGAAACGACGTGGGCCTGTGGAGCTGGGCCATGACCTGCATGGTGTGGGACATTGGGCTGCCCGTGAAGGGGCAGAGTCCCCCACTAGGCAGCAGGAGGAACCACCGTCAGTCCACAGTCCTCACCCAGGACTGGACTTCGGAGGGGAATCCTGGGAGAGGCCTCAGGTGGGCACACAGGGAAGGGACAGAGAGCAGGGAGGGACCCCGGGACCATGGGCCAGCGTGCGGGTGGGTCTGGGCGGCACCTTGCCTGTTCCTCCTGAAACTGGAGTTGGCATTAGGTGGGCCTCTCCGAGGGTGACGTCAGCTTCCTTCTCACACACGGGGGGAGCCAGGTGTGGGGTGCAGGGTGGAAGGGAGCTTGGCTTAAGGACCTTGCAGGCTGGGAGCTCCAGGACTGGCGTAAGGACCGTGTCATGCTGGGAGGAGTCTGCCCTTCCCCGCACCTCCGCGTGTGACCCAGGTCTGCCTTAGGTCTGTGTTTTTGCTTAATAAGGGGTTGCTAAGCAAGCAGGTCACCCCTGAGACAAAGGCTCTCAAGTGGGGGTGAGGCCGACCCCAGGGGACTGTGCCTGTCCACATGGGAGCTTCCGCCAGGTAAACATGCCAGCATCATCTAAGCCAGCGTTGGCATCACGTGGCCTTGTCTTGGGGCCTGAGATGCTCGGCCTAGACCAGGGTTCTTGGTGTCACCTGGTGGGGAGAGCTGGTGAGAGGAGGTGTAAGCTCTGGGGTGCTTGGGGGGGGCATAGGGAGCAGCGGAGGTGGCACTGAGGCATGGTGATGTGAGTGTGGGAGCCCAGGAGGAGCCCCCGCGTCTGATGCAAGCTTTGTGGAGCACCCTGCGACCCTGCATCGGCCTCGGAACCCTGCTCAGGCGTAGCCTGCCCAGTCGGCCATGACTCAATTCTGTGGGCCAGGCTGGCAGGAAGGGCATCGGGTAGCTTCTTGGGGGGCAGAGTGCAGCACGAGGGAAGTGGCACCCGTGCTTGGTGCTCTGTTGGGCAAAGCGCTGCCGTCAGTACCCAGGTCGAGGGGCAGGGTCAGCAGGGACGTGAAGCTCGGGGTGCACTGGGTCAGCCTGCCTGGACCCCCTCAAGCCCTGGCCTGAGGCTGTGCTGTCCCGGCAGATGCCTGCTCCGTGCCCGTGTCTGACATCATCACTGTGGAAGAAGCTGACCCGCGCAGGAAGCGCCACCCCAGCCGCCGATGGCACAAGATGGAGAAGCCGTACGCTTTCACAGGTGGCGGGGCTGCACCTTCCGCGTGCGCACAGACCAGGGACAGAGCGCTGGGTGCTCTGCCATCCCTCGTCCTTAACGGGATCTCAGCTTGGTCTCCCTTCCCGGCCCCGTGGCTTACATGGCCTGCGCGCTGGAGCAGGGGCGCTGGGAGGGGCAGCGGGTGGGGCGCCCACACTGACGGCCGCGTGCATCCGCAGTCCACTGCGTGAAGAGGGCGCGGCGGCACCGCTGGAAGTGGGCGCAGGTGACCTTCTGGAGCGCGGACGAGCAGCTCTGCCTGCTGTGGCTGCAGACCCTCAGGGGCCTCCTGGAGAAGCTGAGTAAGTACCCTCCCAGCCTGGGTTTGCTCTCCGGGAGGCGGGCTCTCAAATGTGTGTGTACTCCCTGGTGTGGCTGTGTCTGCCCTCCCTGTCCCTCCCCCTCCTGGCGTGGCTGTGTCTGCCCTCCCCGTTCCTCCCCCGTCCCTCCCCCTCCTGGTGTGGCTGTGTCTGCATCCCTCCCTCCCCCGTCCTGGCGTGGCTGTGTCTGCATCCCCCCCTCCCCCTCCTGGTGTGGCTGTGTCTGCCCTCCCCCGTCCTGGCGTGGCTGTGTCTGCCCTCCCTGTCCCTCCCCCGTCCCTCCCCGTCCCTCCCCCTCCTGGTGTGGCTGTGTCTGCCCTCCCTCGTCCCTCCCCCTCCCAGCGTGGCTGTGTCTGCCCCCACAGCGTCCTTCGTCCTTTGGTCTGTAGTTAGCTGTGCTTTTGCTGTGGCTGTCAGCACCCAGTCCCCTCACGACTGCAGTGTGCATGTCCTCTGCTGGGGGGGCAGCATTTGTGCATGAGGGACACGACAGAGCTGCCCCTGGCGTTCCATGAAGTCGCTCTGCAGAGGCTCTGCCTGGCACTCCTGGCATACGGCAGGTAGAGGTGGGCTCTCTCTGCTGTTGAGTGGTTTTGCCTTCGCAGGTCATCCTGAGGATGGCTGGCTGTGTGGGTGGCATTGCTGGCATTCTGTGCTCTGATTTGTGTCCGAGGGAGATGCCGCCGTGTGGGGAGGTCACGCCAAGTGTGTGTCTGTGGGCTGGTGGCCGTTGCAGGGAGGCCACGGTGTGTTTGTGTGTGCGTGGGTTAGTGGTCGATGAAGGAGGCCCTGCTGGCTGTGTGTGTGGGTGAGTGGTCGATGGAGGAGGCCACGCTGGTTGTGTGTGGGTGAGTGGTCGATGGAGTCCACACTGGTTGTGTGTGGGTGAGTGGTCGATGAAGGAGGCCACGCTGGTTGTGTGTGTGTGAGTGGTTGATGGAGTCCATGCTGGTTGTGTGTGTGTGGGTTAGTGGTCGATGAAGGAGGCCCTGCTGGCTGTGTGTGTGGGTGAGTGGTCGATGGAGGAGGCCACGCTGGTTGTGTGTGGGTGAGTGGTCGATGGAGTCCACACTGGTTGTGTGTGGGTGAGTGGTCGATGAAGGAGGCCACGCTGGTTGTGTGTGCGTGGGTTAGTGGTCGATGAAGGAGGCCCTGCTGGCTGTGTGTGTGGGTTAGTGGTCGATGAAGGAGGCCCTGCTGGTTGTATGTGGGTGAGTGGTCGATGGAGTCCACGCTGGTTGTGTGTGGGTGAGTGGTCGATGAAGGAGGCCACGCTGGTTGTGTGTGTGTGAGTGGTTGATGGAGTCCATGCTGGTTGTGTGTGTGTGGGTTAGTGGTCGATGAAGGAGGCCCTGCTGGTTGTGTGTGTGGGTGAGTGGTCGATGGAGTCCACGCTGGTTGTGTGTGGGTGAGTGGTCGATGAAGGAGGCCCTGCTGGTTGTGTGTGTGGGTTCGTGACTGTTGCAGCTGTTACTTGACTCATCTGAGACCAGGTGTGAATGTGTACTTTGTGGTGAAGTTTACTAACCTGATTCTTTGAAACACTTGACTTGGCCAAAATGTGGAAGTTGTTGTAAGAGAGTTGGGGAGTCCCAGGGAAGCTAGGTGAGGGGTTCCTCTGGGGCTTGGGGAAGCCGTGGCCATCCTCTGCTGTCTCAGTGTTTCTGAGTCTTCCGTCCATTTCTCCTGCATCTGTGTGGTTCTGGTTCACTGAACATGCAGCAGAGCCATCTGTCAGCCCAGGTGTGTGGGGCTCGTCCTTCCACGGGCCTGTCTGTCCACGGGCTTGTCCATCTGCCAGCCTGTCCATCTGTGAGCCTGTCCGTCCGTGGTCCTGTCTGCCTGTCTGCAGGCTTGTCCATCCATGGGCCTGTCTGCCAGCCTGTCCATCTGTGGGCCTGTCTGCGGGCTTGTCCATGGGCCTGTCTGCCAGCCTGTCCATCCGTGAGCCTGTCCGTCTGTGGGCCTGTCTGTGGGCCTGTCCGTCTGTGGGCCTGTCTGTGGGCCTGTCCGTCCGTGGGCCTGTCTGTCCGCAGGCCTGTCCGTCCGTGAGCCTGTCGCTTCTGTGCTCCCTAGGTCAGGAGCTCCAGATCCCTGCTGTTTGGGATGTAAAGGCCCTCCGGCAGAGGCGGAAGTGCAGACTTCCGAGCGCCCCACGGTTGGGCTGCAGTCCTGCACTGCAGGACGGGGTTCCCGCTCTGAAGAGCTGGGACCAACACCTTGTGTTACTGCCCTGCAGCGTCTCGGCCGAAGCACCTGCTGGTTTTCATCAACCCATTTGGGGGGAAAGGACGAGGCAAGAGGATATATGAGAGGAAGGTGGCCCCGCTGTTCACGCTGGCCTCCATCAGCACTGACGTCATCGGTAAGGTAGAGCACTCTGTCATGTTTGCAGAGGTCACCTCGAGGACCTCGGAGAGTCCCAAAGGCAGCGTCGTCTTTACGGTGTATCAGAGTGGGGAAATCCGAAACTGCCCTGCTTCCATGTCAGGCCTTTGCCCAAAGCACTGCGTGTCTCTGGGAAGATAAAACAGTGTGGGCATGGGGTCAGCACCCAGTCCTGGTGCCTGGTTCAAGTCTTGTCTCTGCTGCTGGCTTCCGGCTTCCTGCGCCTGTGATGGGCCAGGTGGTCAGACCTCGGCACCCACGGCGGAGACCTGGCTGCAGCTCCTGGCTCCTGGCTTCAGGCTGGCCCAGCCTTGGCTCCTGAGCGAATTTGGGGAGTGAGCCGGCAATGAAAGATCTCTATTTCTCTCTGTCTCTGCCTTTCAAATGAGATGAGAAATAATTTTTTTAAAGGATAAAAGGGAAAATGTCATGGGCAGACACCTCTTACAGGAAGAGACACATGGGATCTAGTGCGATGGCCTGGTGGCTAAATCCTCGTCTTGCAACCACCAGGATTCCATATGGGCACCAGTTCGTGTCCAGCTGCCCACTTCCCATCCAGCTTCCTGCTTGTGGCCTGGGAAGGCAGTAGAGGGTGGCCCGAAGCCTTGGGACCCTGCACCCACGTGGGAGACTTGGAGGAAGTTCCTGGCTCCTGGCTTCAGATGGGCACAGCTCTGGCCCATCTGAACCAGTGGGTGGATGATCTCTCTATCTTTCCTCCTCTCTGTAAATCTGACTTTCCAGCGGCGGGAGGCTGCAGGAGGTTAGTGGGAGGCAGTGGAGACTGGTATGTGGCTAGTGCGTGGCTGGGTGGCAGTGCAGGCCACGAGCAGGTGCTGAGGGCTGTCTTTTCTAAATGCCTCCTGGGAGCACGGATACCCACGGCCGCCTTGTGGGCAGGATGAGTGCCGCTGGGCGGAAGCCAGATTCACAGAGCCGGCGGCCTGCAGGCGCTCACAGAGCCCGCACAGAGCTGTTGGTCCTAACAGGTGACTCTGGGATAGCGGGCTCAGCAGGCTGTGGCTTGTGGCCCAGCAGAGGGAACATTCGTGCACTGGACGTAGAGACCGTGGCCTCTTGGGGATTTGAAAAGAGGGACATGAAGAACGCCCCCCCAAGTGCCGTCACACCCAGGGCTGGGCCAGAAGGCAGCCAGGAGCTGGGAACCCAGCCCGGGTCTCGCCTGTGGGTGGCAGGGACCTGACAGTGAAGGTGCTGCCCACTGCCCCCCAGGGTGCGCCTCAGCAAGAAGCTGGCTGGAGCCAGGAGTGGAGGTGGGACCCCAACCAGTGGCTCATCTACGAGGCCAGACACCTGCTTTGGTAGTCTAAGATGTTGGAAGTAATTAAGGCCACAAGAGAAAATGATAAGGTAGGCGATGGGGTAGCTGTCAAAGGTGTTAGCATTGCGGGCCTTCACTCACATGCCAGGCTGCAGCGTCTCTTGCAGGGGTTCCCCTGAGAGCCCCTGTGGCGTGAGGTCCTTGGCCCTCCCTGAGAGGGAGCCAGGCCCCGGCACTTTGCCTGTCGCGGCGGCGAGGGGTCGCAGTGCGCCTGCCAGCTGTGCATGCCCTGTCGTTTTCCCTGCAGTCACTGAGCGTGCGAACCAAGCCGAGGAAGCACTGTACAGCATGAACTTGGACAAGTACGACGGGTGAGTCTCGCCCGGTTCGCTCCTTCCCTCTCTCACGCTTTGCCGACCAGGCAGCGACCCGGGCGCCTTTACCACATGCCCACCCCGCTGGAGTGTGGCCGCTGTGGCATTGAACATGGGAAGGTGCCTGGAACTGCTACCCAGCTGGGGCAGGCAACCCTAGAATGGGCAACAGGGCATGGAGGGGCCTGGGAGCCTGCACCCAGGGGCATCCTGCAGTGCCCAGGAGGCAGCCGGGAGACTGACTGCGACCCTGCCCGGAGGCCGCTGGCCCTGGAGTGGGCCCAAGAGACCGCAGTCCTCTGCGGATAACCCCTCAGCCGCACCCCACCTCCAGGCTCTCGGATGGCCAGAGGCCACGGGGACGTGGGTTACTGTCCCTTCCTGATATGGGGACACCTCTGTCTCTCCCTGGATGTGACCTCTCCACTTCCCTCTCAGTCGCCGACTCCCTCATGGGTCACCGAAGTACTAGGAAGAGCCCCCTGCCTGCCAGGCAACCTCCCCATACACACATCCCACAGGGAGTGTGGTCCCCTGGCTCAGCAAGGAGCCCAGCAGGCGGGCGCTCCCGTGAGGCCTCCCTGAGTCTGCTCCCTCCGAGAAGGAAATGCAGCCAGCTGGTCCAGGCCAGCCGGTAGTCACGGGGCTTTCCCTGCCACGCCCGGGAGCTGGCAGCTCTGCTGCTGCCCAGCACAGGGGTGGCCCTCCTTGCCCCTCAGCGGGCCTGACCGCATCCTCCCGCAGTGTGGTGTGTGTTGGCGGGGATGGCATGTTCAGCGAGGTGCTGCACGGCCTCATCGGGAAGACTCAGCGGAGCGCTGGCATCGACCAGGACCAGCCCTGGGCCGCGCTGGTGCCCGTCACCCTCAGGATTGGCATCATCCCCGCCGGTAGGCTTAGCCATGGGCTCAGCTGCTCCTCCCTTCAACATGGGGGAGCGGGTGGAGGTGGGGTGTGCCTGGGGCAGCAGGTCGCTGCTGGGGGGGTTCTGAAAGAAATGACTTCTGCCGAGCTGTGGGAGCTCGGAGGGACAGCGGGTGCAGGGGTCAGGGATGGGGGTGGGGTGCAGAGGACAGACGGAGTCGAGGGACAGAAGGGACAGCGGGTGCAGGGGTCAGGGATGGGGGTGGGGGTGCAGAGGACAGACGCTGATGCCAGGGCAGGGCTGCGCTGGCTCCCCAGGAGGCACCAGCCGCTCAGCTGTGGAGCCCCAGGCCTGGACCTTGCTGGCCCGCTCCCCCGTCCACTCAGCAGGCAAGGGGCAGCTTCTTCCTCCCTCACTGCCCTGAGTCTGTGCCAGCTGTGGTGGCTCCATGGAGTCTGTTCTTGTGAACGCCCTGTGACGGAAGTCCTTGGCTGGGGAGGTCCACAGGTCAGCCCAGGAGGAGTGCAGATGGAACCAGAGCCTGTCTGTCCCCCTGAACCCCGCTTCCAGCTGTGCTGTCCGCCCTCATCTCAGCCCCTTGGAAGTGGATGTTGGGATATCCTCAGTACAGAGCCCCGCTTTTAGGGAAACAGGCAGAGCACACAGCTTGGGGGCTCGTCACAGGAGTGGGGAGTTGACCAAGAGCGAGTTCCCCACATTTGGAAGGTGACCTTTCCTCAGCCCCCCGAGGGGAGCTCCAGTGACGCAGGGGCCCGTGCAGAGGAACGTCGTCTCCCCGTGTGCCCTGAACCCCAGCTGCTGGGGAGCCTTGTGCCTGGTCCTGTCCGGGCTGCCGCACCGAGAGAGTCATGACTCAGTGGGGTCGGGAGAGAGGCCTGTGACACGAGTGGCTCCTGCTTGGTGAGGTGGCCATGGCAGCATGCTGCCCACCTGCCTCTCCTTCCTTCCTGAGCTTCCCATGGGGCTGGCCTCTCAGTTGGCAGTCTGGGCAGAGGGTGGTAGGGAAGGGTCCCTTGACAGTGTGACCCTGCCTGCACCCCTCAGAGTGGCAGTCCTGCCCTCGCACAAGGGCCCTCGGCCATGAGCAGCGGAGCGCGCATCTGTGTGGGGGCACACGCCGTGCAGCCCCCAGCTCCTTTCACGTGCCTGAGATGCGTCTGAGGGAGAGGAAGCGTGCTCAGTGGGAACAGCATCTCCGAGCCTGGGCCTTTGGCACGTGGGAGCTGTGTGGCTGGGCTGCTGCCTAGCTGACAGGGTGTGTGCAGGACCCCAGAGCCCGTGGTGTAGGGATGCCCTGGGTGCCCGCTGCCGTAGTGAGGACAGGTCGTTCCCTGGCCTGGGTCGGAGGCGGCAAGCAGCAGATAGAGGCCTCTGACCCGTCCGACTCCGTGGCCATGGGGGCACATCAGGAGCCGCAGGGACTGAGTGGCCTGTCTTCAGGTGACCACTGGGAGCTGTGGCTTTGTGTGACTATTGCTGGATCTGATGCTGGAACCACCTCAGCCCCACGAAGCCCGAGAGAGTCTGGTGGAGGTGGCAGGGGCACGGCTGGCTGCAGGTCGGGCAGGGGAGGCCCCCAGGGCTCTGCTGGGCAGGGGTGGTAGGCTTGAGCCACCTCTGCCAGGCTCTCAGCTGGTACTGCATCGAGGTGTCGGAAGGATGACAGTGCTGTGTGAAGGGCAGAACAAATGCAGCCAGCAGTGGGGTATTGCACACTGGGGGAACTTGGGGCCTGCTTGGGTCTTAGGACAAGAGTAGCAGGGAGGGTGGACCCAGTTCCTCTGTCAGGGTCCACCTGCTATGGACCCAGGTTGGCCTTGCCAACCATGTGCCTTCCCTCCTATCCACGGAAGTCTGAACCTGGTGTGGTCCAGCTACTGCCATGGCCCTACCCTGCACCTGCTGTCCAGAGCTGGGCACCCCAGCCATGCCTCCTGCACCTCTGTGCTTCATGGCAAGCACCTCCAGTGTCTTCCCACAGAGTGACCTGCACCATGTCCATGCCCCCAGCCACAGCATCATGGGCAGAGTGCTGAGATGGGTCAGGCCCAGGGCCCACCATGGCCCCTCCAGAGGCCGAGGAGGGGAGGCTGGGAGTGGCTGTTTCCCCAGAGTGAGGCTTGGCGCTTCATGTTAGGACCACGAGTCCCCAGTCAGCTTGTCCTGCATGAAGGATGAAAGGGCTGGGCTCTGAGGACCCTGCTCCTGCGTCCTCTCATGGCGGGGTTTGCACGAGTCCCTGCTGGCTGTGGCAACAACCAGGGGCAGGGATGTGGGGTATGCTAACGATGACATGGGCAGGGGGCAGCCAGCAGTGGACGCCAAGACGGGTTGTGGAGAGGAGAAGCTTTGTTTGGAGCCAGGCTTGGGAGCAGTGACCGCTCGTGGGCTCCCTGGCACACTATTGCTCACGTGTTCCCAGCTGACCACCCGGGATTCTACACATCTGTGTAACAAGCGTTCACCTTCTGTTCCAAGTGGAGGGCTCCCTCAGGCCAGAGGATGGCCTGCAGACCCAGCCGGGGCTTCCAGAAGGCTCTGAGCACCCTGTCTGAGAGGGGACCAAGTCAAATCTGTTTCCTTCATTTAGTCCCTTGCTCCGACTGTGACAGGAGGGTGGCTGTTCCCCGGCATCGACGTCTGTCCTGTCACGGTGCTCAGTCCCTGCGCTGACGTGAGGCCTTCTCTCCTGCAGGGTCCACGGACTGCGTGTGCTACTCCACTGTGGGCACAAATGACGCCGAGACATCCGCCCTGCACATCGTTGTGGGTGGGTCCCACTGGGTCCCTGTTCCCTGCCTCCCTGGAAGGTCCCTTCTCACCAACCTCCACTGCCCATGACCAGCCAGACCGCCAGCCTTGCTGTGCCAATCTGCGTCCCCATGCCCCAAGGGGAGGGATTGCCACCATAGATGTGCTCTGTGCCCTGTCACCTTCCGTCCTGCCAACGGCTCAGGGCCAGCAGGAAATTCTCTGACTTACAGTCACTTCTCCTGTAGGGGACTCGCTGCCCATGGACGTATCCTCGGTCCACCACAACAGCACGCTGCTGCGGTACTCTGTGTCCCTGCTGGGCTATGGCTTCTACGGGGACATCATCAGGGACAGCGAGAGGAAGCGCTGGATGGGTCTGATCCGCTACGACTTCGCAGGTAGCCCGCAGCTGGGCACGGGGTGCTGCCTGAGCCGCCCCAGGTGCCCAGGGCTGCACTGCCGGAGCTGGGCAGGGGTGCTGCCTGAGCCGCCCCAGGTGCCCAGGGCTGCACTCCCGGAGTTTAGGGGAAGTGGGGGTATGGGGCATGGTGGCCACATCCTGCAGAAAGGTGGCATAGATGCTGCTGAAGGTCAGAGCACCTGGGCATCGCGCAGTGCCCACCCTGGAAGCCAGGCCAGTGGGTTTCATTGAGAAGAACTTTGCTAGTCAGGTGACAGGAGCCTCAGACCCACCCTGGCTCACTGTGGGCAGACCTGGGACCAGTGGGGACCATGCAGGCTGCGCCTTCTGCTGGCACATGGATCCAGCACTGAGCAGGCTCCTTCCGGCCCACTTCCTGTCCCCAGGCTTGAAGACCTTCCTATCACACCACTGCTACGAAGGGACTGTGTCCTTCCTGCAAGCACGGCACACGGTGGGGTCCCCGCGGGACAGGCAGCCCTGCCGGGCAGGGTGAGCACTTGGGCATCGTGGGCAGGGCTGCCTGGGTTGATTCCCATCAGGAGGGGAGGACAGACATGGTCACCACATGCTGGGGGAGAGGACAGTGGCTGGGCTGGCCTCTGGGACTCACGGCCCTGGAAGATGGCCATCCTGGTCCCCGGGGACCAGTGGGGCGCGCCACTTCATTCCCTTTGGGGTGTGTGGGTGGGGGACCCTCAGGAGAGGTCAGCTGGCCACTTGGTCAGTGGTGGTGTGTGTGGGGGAGGACCCCGACTAGCAACGTGTGTTCTCAGCAGGGGTGGAAGTGGAACCTTCTTTCCTGTCCCTGGCAGGGACCATGTCCGGGTGCCTCGCGCTCCAAGGTGGGCGCTCTTGTGGCCACCCAGGCTCAGGAAAAGGATGCAGAGGGGCTCGGGGTCCCCAGGGGAGGGCGGAGGCCTCCCGACAGGTGTGTGTGGAGGGACAAACAGCTCACACAGATGCCCTCTACCCACCCCCCGACATCAGAGCAGTTTTAAACAGAACCTCAACTCAGTCCTGACCTTTGTTGTCCCGGACCTTGCTGGGACAGGGCAGACAGGCACTACGGGCTGTTCACCTAGTCCTGCCTTTGTTTTAAGGACTTAATGCAAAGACTTGTCTATTCTTATCTGATAGCTGATTAAAAGAGAAGGAGGAATAGAGAGATCTCCATCTGCTGGTTCACTCTGCAAATGGCCGCAATGGCCAGAGCTGAGCTGACCTGGAGCCAGCAGCCAGGAGCCTCCTCTGGGTCTTCCATGTGGGTACAGGGGCCCAAGGACTTGGGCGTCCTCTGCTGCCTTCCAGGGCCATTAGCAGGGGGCTAGATGGGAAGTAGAGCAGCCAGAACTCAAATAGGCATCCATATGGAATGCTAGTGCCACAGCATGAAGGATTAGCCAGTTGAGCCAGGGCACTAGTCCCTTGCCCTGTCCTTTAAAGCCATTCTGCTCTGGGCACTGCTTCCCCCAGCCGCTGCAAGTGAAGGCTATGAGACGGTGGCCCTCAGGGTAGCCGTCGAGCTGGCACGTTGGCGCGATGCAGTGGAGCGCGCTCCCATCCCTGACATCAGCCCTTGCCCCGGGTGGAGAGAGGACCTGGTGGGACTGGGGTCGGAGCTTGCATCCCAGCAGGTGGCTGACCCGCCCCTTCCTGTTTCCTGTTTCCCGTTACTGGCTAAACCAGCGACCACTGTGTCTTCTGCCCCAGGAGTCATGATGGGTGGCCCTTGTCCTTGAGCCGCCTGGACCGGCCAGTGCCGTGCCAGGGCGTCAGACTCTCATGGTGGTTTCCAGGGCTGTTACTGTAGACCTAATTTGGGAAATGCAAGTTCATGAGCAAAAGAAAAGCCATTTGGATTTAGCCTTTGAAATTGAACTGCTTATTAGGCAGAAAGAGCTCAGGCACTTTTCCCTGTGCCGGGCACGCGTCCTGCTGCGTGTGTGTGTTTAGGTGGCCGTGTTCTCTCCCAGGTGCTTCGTGTGTCGGCAGAGTAAGCAGCAGCTGGAAGAAGAGCAGAAGAAAGCACTGTATGGGCTGGACAACATGGGTAATGGGCGTGGCTGCGGTGCCCTCGCGTCCTCGCGTGGCCTACTCCGTCCCCTCTGCCTTCCCTTGTCCTGCGCACGCTGCGCTCCAGGCAGCACGGGCCGGAGCCCACGCCTGTCCATCTGCTCCACGTCCTCTGCTGCGGGGAGCCCCGTGTCAGGGGGTCCGTCCTGCTGCTCCCCTCTGCCCTTCCCCAGCCCCGCAGCCTGAGCCTGAACGTGCAGGGTGCAGACGAACAGTGAGGCCACCTGCCCCCGAAACCTTAGCCTGGACATTGAAATTGGAGTGGTGAATAATTCCACGCAAGATTGCTGTGGTTTACAAATGTGGAAAGACTTCTGCAGCCCAGCCAGGCGGGGGCCTCACAGTGGCAGCCGGAAGCAGGTTGCTGTGGGACTCAGGTCTCCTGGCTCCTGCGCAAGTTCACTGTGGAGTGGCACCCATGAGGTGGGGCAGACACTGGCCTGCTTTCCAGGGGCGACACAGTGGGTCCAGCACACGTCTGCAGGCCAAGGGCAGCTGGGGCGGGTGGACTTGGGCTGGGGAGGAAAGCAGACTGCGCTTGGTAGCAGGAAGCCCAGAGGGTCCCCAGGACAGCTGTCCTGCGTGGTCACCACAGCCTGGCCCTCCCTCCGCAGAGGACATGGAGGAGTGGCAGGTGGTCCGTGGGAAGTTCCTGGCCATCAATGCTGCGAACATGTGCTGTGCCTGCCCCCGGAGCCCCAGGGGCCTCTCCCCGGCCGCGCACGTGGGCGACGGCTCCTGTGACCTCATCCTCATCCGCAAGTGCTCCCGGCTCAACTTCCTGAGGTTCCTGGTCAGGCACACGAACCAGGGCGACCAGGTGAGGGGCGTGCCGGGGACCGGGGCGACCAGGTGAGGGGCGTCCTGGGGACTCGGGCCGGAGCCCTGGGTCTGCATGGCGCCAGGTGTAAGCTGCACTCACAAACGTGCTTGCTTGTAAAACTTGAGTGCACGCTGTCCATCTTTGCTACAGAGGAGGGGGTATGGCTGCTCCACTTTTTGTGGTCAGCCCGAATGTCAGATGGAAAATTCCAGAAAAGCACAACTCGGTGCAGTACAGGAGACCACATGCAAGCAGCCCTTATCCCGCACACTGTGGCCTCGGCAGGGTCCCTGGCGACACTGTCTTCCGGCTCTGGAGTTGAACAGGGCTGTCACCCCAGTGTCCTTGTATCCTAAGAAAGGGGACAGCTGGGACGGAAGCCCAGCACAGGGTCGATGAGTTCCTTAGAATCTGTTATCCGACTGGTTTAGGGCAGCTCTGCCGGACCACGGGCTGGTGGAGGGGACAGGGGCGGCCGGGGTGGAGAGCTGGGCATCGACGAGGGCTGGTGGGGTGGAGAGCTGGGCATCGACGGGGGCCGGCGGGGTGGAGAGTGGTCCTGGCGTGCGAGCAGGCCTTGCTGAGATGGAGCTAGGAAAAGAAAGAAGAAGAAAAACAGTCTGTGTCAGAAGCAGAGGGGCAGGGCAGCCCCTGAGAGAGCGACTCCGCAGATGCCCGTGCTGAGGGCGGGCAGGCGTGTGCACCAGGCCCCGGTGTGGGTGGCAGGCGGCCGGGAGTCAGGAATGGGGCTGGGACACGCGAGCCCGCTGCAGAGGGGGTGCAGGCACACTGAGTCCTAAAGTGAGGGCTGCCCCGAGGGTGTGGTTTGTAATCTGTATCATACTTACGATACAGCCCAGTGCTGTTTTAATGCAGCTTTTTGAATGGTGCTTGATTTAAAACAAGAAAGAAAAGAAAAAACCCTGCAAACTGCTGTGAATTCCAGACCAGAAATGTACACTGCGGCGGGCTGGGCTGGCTGGGCTGGCTGGGCTGGCTGGGCTGGCTGGGGCTGGCTGGGGCTGGCTGGGGCTCGCTAGGCTGGCTGGGCTCGCTGGGGCTCACTGGGCTGGCTAGGCTGGGCTTGCTGGGCTCACTGGGCTTGCTGGGCTCGCTGGGGCTCACTGGGCTGGCTAGGCTGGGCTCGCTGGGGCTCACTGGGCTGGCTAGGCTGGGCTTGCTGGGCTCGCTGGGCTGGCTGGGGCTCGCTGGGCTGGCTGGGCTCGCTGGGGCGCCCCAGTCAGTCAGCCAAGTGCCTGGGCAGGCAGCACCCCTTCTTGTGTCCTGGAGTTGTCCAAGCTGCAAACATAGGCCAGGCCAGGAGCAGGCGGCCGGCAGGGCTGAGGGGTGCGCGTGGGCCTGGGCCCAGGACAGCACAGAGGTGAACTGCCTGTGTGTTGTCTTTCTGCAGTTTGACTTCACGTTCGTTGAAGTTTACCGGGTCAAGAGGTTCCAGTTCACCTCGAAGCATGCAAGCGAGGAGGAGGGCGGCCTCCAGGACAGGAGCCAGCAGCGGCTCGGGTCCCTGTGCAGTGAGAACCCCACGTGCTGCAGGGAGGTCTCCCGCAGCTCCTGGAACTGCGATGGGGAGGTCCTGCACAGCCCCGCCATCGAGGTCAGGTGAGCCGTGCGGGCGCAGGGCTCCCAGCCCGTGGGCCCAGTGTGAGGGTGGGCGTGTTCACCCTTCCTCTCCCTGGTCCACTGGACTCACCTCGAGGGGCCATGGTGAGCTGTCCCAGTGCTGGGGGAGGGAGATGTGGGCATCTGTGCCACACACTGCGGGAAGGGAGAGGGTTTGGGCCAGGGGGCTGGAAGAGGCACCTGGGGCTGGTGGGCAGAGGGGAAGGGCCACCCAAGGTGTGTGGTGGTCTGACTGCTGGGGCAAGGCTCCATTCCAGGCCAGAGTGGGTACTCAGGCAGGGCAGGGCATCAGGAGCCAGCTGGAGCTGCCCAAGGCTGCACCTGCTTGGTGTCCTGGCTGCAGAGGCTCCAAGCCTCCCCCCGCAGGCAGTCATACCAGCAGGGGCAAGGGCATTCCCCATGCCCATGCATAGGGCACACCGGATTTGGGCTTGGAAATCTGCAGGTGAGTTGAGGGGGGAGTCTTAAGCAGAAAGCATCTTCTCTTCTGGGCAGGCACAGGACAAGGTGGTTTTCCAGAAAGGGCTGGGGTGGGAGTGTACAAGAATGGGGGAGCGGGCCAGGACCGGGGCGATTTCGGGGCCTTCCTGACAGCGGAGTGTGGGTCCCAGGGGAGTGACTGGGAGGCCAGTGTGAAGGTGTCCCACCAGCCAGCGTCCTGGGACGGGCCGGCCCAGGTGCCTGCTCCTCCCTTGCTTGCCCCGTGGCCTCAAGGATGAGCTCCTCAGAAGGGCCCTGTGGATGTCACACAGCCAGCAAATGGAGTGGCTGCTGCTGACTCACCTTACAAGCCTGGGGAACGTGGGATTCACTTGGGTAGTTGTTGAAGTAGAATATTCTGCCAATAAGGAGGGGACCCTTGTGGCACAGCCCATCTGGGTGAGCAGCAGCGTGCCCACCATGCAACCTGGTGAGGGGGCTGGCTGACCCGGGAGACCCCAGCTGATCATCCCTGGAACAGGAGCCCCATGAGCTCGGTGTCCAGGAGGTGGGGCAAGCCAGGATTCGCCACTGGCATGCTGGGGTTGGCATCAAATCAGCTGACCCCGGCAGTACTCTGGGGTCAGTAGTCCCTCAGGCTGCACAGCCGACCATGACGCCCGCCTGTGCCTGGGCCACCTGCTGCCAGCCCCGCCCAAGACACTATGGGGAGGGACCCCATGGGCGAAACCACCACCCTGTGTCTCCGCAGGGTCCACTGCCAGCTAGTCCGGCTGTTTGCACGCGGCATTGAGGAGCGCCCCCAGCGGGCAGCGCGCAGCTGAGAAGGTGCCACTGCCTGCACGTGGAGGGACGAGGTCAGCACAGGGCTGCAGGCCGATGACGGGACAGATATACTTCAAGTAGAGATTTATTTTTGATAGATTAATCTCGATTTTAGGAAACTCCCTTTTGTGAGCCGTCCACCACCCACCTCTGGCATCCCGGGGCCCCTGAGGCTGCCCCACCTGCTCCTTAGCCCGACGTGGCCGTCCGTGCGGCTTTCGGCAGCTCCCTTCCTGGCAATAGTCGTAGGGACATGACGTGAGCTCTCCTGGAATCCGCGCATGCCTCCTGGCCACGAGTGACAGACGACCTGGGTACTGGGACCACCCGCGGGACTCCGAATGGCCTGTGGCGTCTGTCCTCATCCTGCCCTCACGCCCACGGCCGATCAGGGTGGCCCTTTCTGCGTGAGCAGGCAGCGTCTGCACCATGACAGCCCAGCCGGGGCAGGAGCCTTGCCCGATTCCGTAGACATGGGTGGGGTGCTGTAGACGTCTGGGGACGCCGCACTGCACCTGCTCTGCGGCCTTCGCGCCCGCCTGCTGAGCCCCCACCCGCAGCCAGCTCTGCCAGCACACGGGCCCACGCTGCTCTGTCCTTGTCCTGCCACGGTCTGTGTGGTCAGATGTCTTGGTCTTTTGGGGCATGTCATGTGAGTTGGTCTCTGAACCAAGAGGCTGCCAGTGCCCCGGAAGTGCCTGGCCACAGCAGCGAGAGGGTGTGGGTCCCCGGGGAGCTGTGGGTGGTCGCACTGCCGGGGTGACCTGTTCCAGGCAGATGAAATCACTGAGACCCCTGTGGAAGTCTTGTCTCAAACAGGCGTGGGTGGCGGGGCCTCCGCCTGGCAGAGCAAGGAGCACCTGGCCGCGAGCCCAGCTTGGTGCACGGTTCCTCCTTCTGTGGCACTGGATGGCCTGCATGTGTCCAGCATGCCCCTGCCACAGCTTGAGTTACACACACCACTTCCCGTTTTCTGTCAGTGCCACCCAGGCCAGAGGGCAGCCCTGGCAATGGCTTTATTCAGACCATGTCTTCACAGGCAATGGCACAAGTCCTGTGGTTGGACCCCAGTAGCTGGATGACAAGTGGTTGTAGGGAGGGGCAGAGCTGTGCCCATGGGGAGGGGCAGAGCCGTGGTCGCAGGGAGGAGCAGAGCTGTGCCTGTGGGGAGGGGCAGACCTGTGCCCGTGAGGAGGGACAGACCTGTGCCCGCGGGGAGGGGCAGACCTGTGCCCGTGGGGAGGGGCAGAGCTGTGCCCGCGGGGAGGGGCAGACCTGTGCCCGTGGGGAGGGACAGACCTGTGCCCGCGGGGAGGGGCAGACCTGTGCCCGTGGGGAGGGGCAGAGCTGTGCCCGTGGGGAGGGGCAGAGCCGTGGCCACAGGGAGGGGCAGAGTCGTGGCCACGGGTGGGGGGGCGGTAGATCTGTGGCCCTGGGAAGGGGCAGAGCCCTGGCTGTGTGCACTCAGCTTTGACAGCTCTGAGGGACAGCACAGCCACTGTAGCCTGGGGTTCCTCTGGCTTTCCTGTGGGGTGCTGACAGGTGGGAGGGTCCCCAGGAGACTGCGAGCAGCCAGCACTCGCCCATGTGGTCCTGACGAAGGTGTCCACACTCTGGTCCATCTGAGAACCTGCAGCTGATCTTAGGGGAAGTGGTTCACGCGGAGGCTTTGACCACCACACTCGGCACAGGAGGGGACCTGCGGACACGCCCCGCACAGCCTCCTGGATGCAGAGCTTGGGGTGTGGGGCACACAGGTGGCAGTGCTGGCAGCAGGCGTGGGCAGCCTGCCCTCCGCTCCCTTGGCAGCTCCTGGCACAGCTGACAGCAGCTCGCCCACGTGGGCTCTTGGTAGAGGTGTCCCCGGGCAGTGTGGCCGGCGCTCTGGGCACTGTCCCCCACAGCAGTGATGGAGAGGCTGGCTTGGTTTTCTCTAATCTTGCTGGCTTCAAGATTAGAAGATGGCATATTTGATCTCTTCAAAAAGACAAAAATAAAGTTACTTTGGGCAGAGCTTGGCGTTGTCTCCTTTCTTTGACAAATCCCTGTCAGAGCAGGATGCCTTCATGAAGACATGCGACTTAGAGCGGGAGCCGTGAGCACCTCACGGCTGCCGCACGGGGCCTGACCGGTGGGCAGGGGCAGAAGGGACAGGCAGCACAGGAAGTCTGCAGGGTGCCTCTGCGCCCACCACGCCCACCCTGAGAGGGACACAGGGCTCCACCTTCCCTATCCCCCGAGGCGACCTCCCCTGTCCAGAGAGGAGGCCCAGAGCCAAGCGTCAGGTGCACAGGGCTGCAGGGGGGACAGAAGGCCACCAGGGGGCACCTCAAAGCTGCTTGCTAAGTGGAACCTGCATCAAGGCCAGGTTGAAGGGCAGGGGTCTCCAAATGGTTCCATGGAGGCCCAAGAACCCCTCTTCCTCCCCCATGCCCAGGTCCCCTGGCACCTGCCATAGACACACCGAGGGGACAGGGAGTTGGGGGGTGACAGCACCTCCGTGCCCTCAGCATCACGTCCCAGCACTGCCTGCGCAGCCCGCAGGTGGACATGGCGTGGACAACTAACCTGGTACGGCCAGGCTCCCTGAGGCTCCCAGCTGGCCCCTGGACAGGCCCAGTTTTCCTGGGGGTTCCACTGGGCTGCAGCATAGCAGCATAGGGCCACACCTTGTCCGTGCACCCGGCACAGGTGTGCACTCGATCCCGGTGGGCTCCTGGGCCCCTTGTCCAGGGCTGACGTCTGCACCGGCCGAGCCATGAGCATCACTGGGAATCCCTCCTCCCAGGGCGAGCACTCAGGACCTGGGCGCAACCCCAAGGCGCTGTGCAGCCGCCAGACAGCACCCACCTGGGCTCTGCTTCCGGGCCCCACAGCCGCCTGCCCGGGTACCCAGCCCTCAGCTGCCCCGCAGACCCCAGTGGGCGGCCTGTACCAGCGCTGCCCACATACTGGACGGTCCTGAGCTGTAGCACAAAGCATTTTAGGTTTATTTAAATAAAAATTATAATTTATACAAGACTTTTTCTTTAAACAAACAAGGTCTTCTTAAAAAAACTTCAGGACGTTACGAGGGCTTGTTTCCTGTTGCTGCTTCATACAGTACGATCCTTTTGCAGAACAAGTCACGCCAGGAACGACTTACGTACACGCCGCCAGAGGCGCGCCGCACACGACAACACGGCCGTGCACAAGTGGAGCATCTGCCTGCACTGACGTGGCTCAACGCGGCCACGCACGCCCACCGCGGGGAGCCCACAGCCTGCGCCAGGCGGCGCATCACCCCGGAATCCAGAGCCAGCTGCTGTCGGCCGTCTCAGCACGTGGTGTGTCTTCACCTCCCTTCCTCCATAAAGGGACTCCAACACACCACTGCCCCTCGCCCCCAGGGGCCCCTGCCAGGGACCCTCCCTGCTGTGCCTGGGGACAGTGTTAGCGCCTTCAAAGACGCGCCCTGGGCCCTGAAGTCTGGCCGTGACCTGGGGACAGGTCGCCCGGCCTGGCCTCAGGCGCCGGGCCTTTTTCATGGGCTGTGTTCCCTTGCCAGGTGCCCCAAGAGCTTGGATTCACCGCTCCTATCTCCGTCCACAAGGCGCGGGCAGAATCTTCTGGAAGACTGACATTGTGTGGCCAGGACTGCGTGCGCGCCCCTTCCAGCAAGGGGGTGTGCGTGCGCCCGCCCCTGGCCCCGGCCCCTGGGAAAGGCTGACCTGAGCCCACGCCACGGGTCCCCCCCTGCCCTGGATGAGGACTGGAGCAAAGGTACAAATCACATCTGAAAAATGATACAAAAATAAGAAAAAACAGCTTGCTCTCTGTAAAAAATAGAATCTGTGTCTTCAAAAAACAACAATGTAGAGACCCCCATGGGACTCGGCACTCGCGAGGGCTTCACCATGGCCACGGCAGGCTGGGACAGGGTGTGCAGCCCTGCCGGCCTCCCTCCAGGCCAGCTGCCCTCCCACTACAGACAAGGGCAGACGTCCCAGGACGACCACGGCCTCGGCCACAGCACTGCCCTCACTCTCTGTGCTCCCCGTCTCTGCGCATGGCTCCTCCCCAAAGCTGCTCACGGGAGGACGCTCTGGCCCCCACCCCAGCCCCCCGGCATCACCTGAGTGACCCACGCTCTGAGCACCCACAATGCCTCCTGGCCTGCGAGCACAGGGCAACGGGGCAGTGCCATACCGCAGGCCTCGGGGCAGCAGGGGGAGGCCCGTCCCCGCCCCTGTGCTCTGAGGATAGCAGCAGGGTCCCGCTGATGGCCAGCCAGCGGCTTCTGTGGCACTTTTTCCCACCTCCAGTGCCATAGCAGGGGCCTGCCATGTGCCCAGTCGTGCCCAGACTGGAGTGGGCAGCACGGATGTGTGCCTGACAGGCCTGCAGCCTCCAGCCCCTCACCCACCGGTGTGTGCCCGAGTCCCTCGGGGGCCCGGGCAGCATGTCATGAGCTCGCCCCTTCCTGCCAGGCCGTGCAATGCAGGGATCCACGCAACTGATCCACGGGGCTCGGGGGTATCAGCAGGTCACCAAGCTCTCCGAGCGTCCACCTGCCCGGGCCACGTCCCCGGGAAGGTCAGTCCTAGCTGTCGCTGCCTCCGGCTGCGGCCATGATCTTCATGTACTGGCTGAAGATGGTTTCGAACGCCTCGTCTCTGTGCACCATGGCGCCGAACACGAGTGGCTGGCGGGGGGCAGAGCCCTCAGTCACCCACGGCGGCGGGCAAGAGGCCACTGCCCTGGCTCCACCCCACCTGCCACCGGCCTCGGGCCCCCGGGCACAGGCTGCACCCTGCCACGGCCAACGCTGGGCACCTACCTTCTGGGTCGATGGTGTCGACACGGCGATGCCCATGCCAGAGCCCGGGAGGACAGACAGGACCTTGTACTGGAAAACAGCAGCCCGGTGTCACACGGATCCCTCCGGAAGGACCCGGGGGCACGGTGGGAGGGGGGCCCCGCGAGCACCGCCCCACCCTGAGTGGCTAAGCGACCAGTCAGCCAGGGAGGGCTGCCCCCAAGAGGGCCACACGTGGGGAATGGGCCCCAAAGCTCACGCCATGGCCTGGCATCACCAGGGGCATCCCAGCTCTTACAGGGAGGCGAGGTGACCCACCACAGCCAAAGGTGGGGAGGGGCCCTGCTCAGCAGATGGGGCAGCCCACTGCTGGGCCTGACTGCCTGGCAGGGTGCTCACCGCCTGCTCCCGAGCTGAGAGCCCCCAGGGGACACTGCGGTGGGGGTGCAGCGGCTCCCAGGGGAAGCCGTGGATGGGGGCAGGCGCCCACCTTCTGGATGTCGGTGATGTCCACCAGCCTGATGACCTTGTTCCTCTTGGAGGACCCGGATTTGGAGCTTTCGAAGCACAGGTAACTGAGGGGGCGGAATGCAGGGCACAGTGCGGCAACCGAGGCAGCGCTTGGACCTCCAGGCTGCTGGCACAGGAGCCCTCCCCTCCACCCCAACCAGCAGCAAGGCTGGGGCCCAGTGGGAGACACTGGTCTCCAAGGGGAGGCCTGGCTGAGGGCTCCTGGGCAGACAGCAGGGCCTTCTGCAGAAGCCCACCTGGCTTCCCCGAGGAGCCCAGCCCTCCGGCAGACGGCGCAGCCTCCCCCGAGGAGCCCACCCGGCTTCCCCGAGGAGCCCACCCGGCTTCCCCCACAGGAGCCTTGGCAATGCTCACTTTTCCGTGACATATAGAACCCCGTTCCTGATGTAGTCGGTCGGCATCTTCCGGTCTCTGTTGATGAGGCAGCAGCGCCAGCCGCTCTCGCACACTGCCCAGGGGAGAGGAACCTCGTGTGTCCACGGCAGGCCGCCCACCCCTGCCGGGTCCCAAAGCCCAGCCGGACAGGCCTCCGGCTGCTCCCACTGGACAGCGTGCGACAGCACAGGGACCTAAGGGAGCCTGCTGAACAGGGCGTCCCCACACACAGCAAGGGACAGGGCTCATGACCTTGAAGGTGCTGACACCCTGACACTGCACTGCGGCTGCGGCCACCGCGGGCCGCACATCCCTGCAGCAGGCCGCGAGGACAGGGATGTGGGGGCTGGGCGTTGCTCAGAGGGCTCTTTCTGGAAGGCTAGCTGGGGGCCTGGGGCTTCATGGGGCACCTTTCAAGAGCCTTCCAGCATGTCAGCACCTGCCTAGGCCCGGGCAGCGGTGCCCAGAGCAGACATGGGGCTGACTGTCCTGCTCAGGGTGGGCCCTGAACACAGGCTCCCACCCGAGTCCATGCCCAGCCAGGTCCTGGTCTCCTGCACACGCACCAGCCAGCGGACGCTCATTCTCCGTCAAGTTAAAGATCTCATGGAAGTTGCCCTTCTTGGTGGTGTGGCAGCGGCTGGCCTCTTCATCTTTGCTCAGGCTGGCCGGTGCGCTGGACACGTAGCTTCGTGACGCAGCTGCCTGCAGCTACAAGGACATACAAACGAAGCCCCGTCCGGGCCCTGGCAGGCAGACAGGCCACGACCGCGGGAGGGGGCACGGCTCCACACGGCAGGACCGCGTCCTGCAGCAGGTCATGATGCAGCAGCCACAGGACAGGCCATGCAGGAGGCCTCGGCACACGAGGGCGCAGCCTCTGCTCACGGCAGGTGGCCAGCGGGCTGTGCAGGCACACTGCACCCCATCATGCCCTGATGCCGGCCACAGGAGGAACAGCAGGTGCATGTGTGACCAGGACAAGGCCCGGGGCAAGCTCTCACAATAGGGGGGTCATGGCGGGAGGGGCCCTGCAAGGCTGGGAGCTCAGCCATGCAGCTGGGGCCCACCCCCACCATCCCAGGACCAGGGTGGGTACTGACAGGAGCCCAGGAGCCTGCCCCTGCCCCATCCCTGCCCCGAGCGTCCCTCCTGCTGAGGGGCACGCATACGTCCTGAGAGGACACTCACACCCAGACTGCTGCAGGTCCACCTCCACCAGGAAGCCCGCCTGGACTTCCCCTAGCACCAGCATCTCCTCTGGCATTTGATCTATGTCCTGGCTCAGGGTCAGCACCCATGGGGTCCACTACCAGCTGGCAAGTTGCTTGGCCTTACGAGGGGCTGGACACCCCGTCTCTAAGCCCCACACCTGCCTGCGGGGGTGTGGCACTGGCAGGGGCCCAGAGGCAGCCATGAACCTTGGAGATAGTGGGGCGCTCTGAGCAGGCAGCCTCCAGGCCCCCGAGACATGGGAGCAGCCAGCTCCTGGGGGCGGGGTCCGGGGCTCACCCTGCGGGTCGCACTGTTGCCAGAGCGCTCCTTGAGCTGCGGGTCAGTGGGCAGGCTCTTCCAGATGATGTAGGGCGTGTCATACTTGGCACGCAGCCGGGGGCAGCGCTTGAAGACGAAGTCGATGAGGAAAAACTTGATGCCCGCGTAGAGGCCTGGAGGGGACGGCCAGACTGCTCAGGGGTGGCCCCTGAACGACGGGGCGCAGGGAGAGACCAGTCTCCCAGAGCTAGACCCAGGGAGGGGCGCAAGTTGGGTGAGGAGGGACTGGCACAGGGCAAAGACCTGGTGGCACATTTGTGTGCTTGTCAGCTGGGCTCCAAGGCTCAGAAAACCCTGGGGTGGAAGAGTATTCGGGGTCCTGCCCTGCCTGAGCCACAGGTCCCAAGGAGTCACAAGGGACCCTACAGTCCTATGGACATGCCTGGCTTTTGTCATCCTGTTCCCGTGCAGCTGCCAGCCCACTGGGCCCAGTGACACAGGCAGGAAGTTGCCGGGGAGGCCGGTCAGGACATGGGCGGGGACACGGTGCCGGCCTGAGACCCAGCGGGGCTAGAGTGGGCTCCAGGTTGGGACCCCAGGGATGCGAAGGAGCCCTGTGGCTCAGGGCATGCTCCTGGAGACACAGGCCACGTGACAGTCCAGACAGTGGGCAGCCTCAGGATGGTGACCGTCACATGGCTGTGTGTGTCTGCCCACAGCCTCCCAAGACTCAAGCTGCAGTTCCTCCCTTCTCCACCCTGCTGAGGGCACCCTGGGCTCTGGGGTCTCCAGCAGGTACACCCCAGCTCTACCCAGCCCCCACCAGCCCTGCTCAGTCCACTCAAGCCACGTTCCACGGGCCTCTGTGTGCACCCAGCACCCTCCACCCGCCCCGCCCCCTCCCTCACATGCCACCACCCAGGCTCCCTGTGGCTTCTCTCTGTGTCCATCTCCCACCTGCCCTGCACAGCCTCATGCCCCTCAGGGCGGGATGCTGTGTGCCACTGTCATCTGGGCTCCCGCACCTCAGGAAAGCCATCACCCGCCCCCCGAAGGACATCTCAGCCTTGCACTGAGCACCGCACAGCAACTCAGCATCCCCCAACCTTCTTCCCCACGCAGTCCGTCAGCCCCTGGCTCCGCCTCCCAAGCAGGTCCACGCCCAGCAGGTGCCCTCTGCTCAGGTCCACCCACACCCAAGGCCCCACCCCACCCACAGACCCCACCCACTCCATCAGGCCCCACCCACACCCACAGGCCCCACCCCACCACAGACCCCACCCATTCCCTCAGGCCCCACCCACACCCACAGGCCCCACCCCACCCACAGGCCCCACCCACTCCCTCAGGCCCCACCCACACCCACAGGCCCCACCCACCCCTCAGGCCCCACCCACACCCATAGGCCCCACCCCACCCACAGGCCCCACCCACTCCCTCAGGCCCCACCCACTCCCTCAGGCCCCACCCACACCCACAGGCCCCACCCACCCCTCAGGCCCCACCCACACTCACAGGTCCCACCCCACCCACAGGCCCCACCCACTCCCTCAGGCCCCACCCACACCCACAGGCCCCACCCCACCCAAGGCCCCACCCACTCCCTCAGGCCCCACCCACACCCACAGGCCCCACCCACACTCACAGGTCCCACCCCACCCACAGGCCCCACCCCACCCACAGGCCCCACCCACACCCACAGGCCCCACCCACTCCCTCAGGCCCCACCCCCTCAGGCTCCTCTTTGCTCCAGCAGGCTCTCTACCCACGCCCCAGCAGGTCACCCCTCCTGGGGACCCTGACCCACCCCCCCACCTGTGCCCACCTCTCCTTACCCACAGCCAGCCCCACCAGGCGGTAGGGGAAGAAGCAGGAGGCCAGGAAGGCGGCCCACAGCGCCACATACAACTTCTGTGTGATCTCAGGCTGGACCCACATGAACAGGCTGTGGGGAGACGGGAGGTCAGGCGGTCGGGCCCGGGCCAGGCGGCTGCCCAGGTCCCCGTGGGGGCAGCCGGGCCAGGCAGCCGTCCCAGTCCCCGTGGGGGCGGCCACTCACTTCCTGATCTTCTCCAGAATGTCGGCCATCTTGCCAAAGAGGTTCTGGGTGGAGAAGAAAGGGCAGGTGTGTGTCAGAAGCCCGGCCGGCCAGGGGTCAGCCCTGAGGCCCTGCCCAGGCCTGGATGGGTGTGGGGCGGGCTCTGGTCGGAAGCCGTGGCGGGGTTGCTGGCGATGCCCGTGCACAGGCCCAGGGCCCAGCGCCCAGGGGTGCTGCCCCGCACGGTACCTGGGCTTTCTGGGCGACGTCCAGCACCAGCTGGAACTTCTCAGACACCGTCAGGTCTTCCTTGGGAGGTTCCTGCAGCCGGAGGGAAAGAAGTTTCCACTGGCATCGAAGAGGTCCTGAGTTCCTGCCAATGCAGCAGGCACGCTCCCGTCTGGGCACCCGATGCCAGCTTGCTGTGCCCAGCGGCCTGAGGGACGGAGGCTGGGGCGGGGGACCCACAGCAGCCGAGCCCAGCTGTCTCACCCAGCCCCCGGTCCCCTGCCCTCACAGGGAGGGAGGCTCAGGCCTCGGCCTGCCTCCTCGGCCATGGCTTCCTACACGGGGGCTGTCCCCGAGGCCCGGCCTGCATCTGTCCCTTCAAGGATACTGCCCTCCCGACGTGTGGCTTTTTCAGGCAAATGACCAGTCACTGCCAACATGCGTGCCAACGTGCATGCCAACGCAGCCACAGGAGTGGGTGCCAAGAAAACCCTCTTTCATATACCAGGCAGACTCAGTAACGATGTGGCACTGCCCACCCAGGGGCCTGTGGGAGCCACTCCAGCTGCCTCCGGTCGGCATGGGGCAAGTACACGCGTGGCTCCCCTAGAGGCAGGCTGGAGGTCTCCCTGCCCTGACCTCTGCTCTCTCCATCTGTGCCAGGCCGTGTGGCCTGACCTGCAGACACACAGGGGAACCCCCAGCCCCTGGACTTACCACGGCCTCAGAAACTTCTGGCACGATGCTCCACTGGATCCGCCAGCCCCTGCCAGTGGAAGGGACCATGCCTTAGCAACTGTGCCGGGCCCCTGGGAGAGGGTGCTGCTGGAAGCCCCCGGCCCCAGCTCCTGGGTGCAGGATCCAGTGTCCCTTCCCTGGAGTCCACCCCTGGGAGGGCATGCGTTTGGAAGCAGTGAGAAGTGCACGGGGCATCAACTGAGGCCTGTGTGGGCCCAGGGCAGCTCTGGGGCTGCAACCCCGTCCAGGGTAATAAAAACCTCCTTCTATCAGATGCCCCTCAGGAGCAGGGCAGGGAGCAAGCCGGGGATGAGGGGTGGGAGGGTGAGGGGCAGGGCGGGTGAGGGCAGGCCAGGGGCATGCGGCAGGCTGGGGGTGAGGGGTGGGGGGGCGAGGGGCAGGGCGGGTGAGGGCAGGCCAGGGGCATGCGGCAGGCTGGGGGTGAGGGACAGGTGGGGGGGCGAGGGGCAGGGTGGTGAGGGCAGGCCAGGGGCATGCGGCAGGCTGGGGGTGAGGGACAGGTGGAGACGTGGGGTAGCCCGGGGTCACCAGAACAGTGCCAGCTCCCTAACCAGCACCACCACAGAAGCCCCGAGGCAGCTGTGGGCCTTGGACACCCAGGGGTGCACCCCAGGGAGCTGGCTCCCTTCAAGCCACCTGTATGAAAAAGGTGCTGGGAAGAGGATGCGGAGGGGTATGCCGCCATGTACACGGGCCAGCGCCGCCCCAGCGCCTCCTGCCACACTGGCCTCCCGACCATGGGGAGCTACCATCAGGCCCCCCAGCCAACAGAGGCAGAGATGGTCGTGTTGCCTAGGGGTCTCCGGGCCCATCAGAGTCGCCGTGGATGGCTGAAGTGTAGACGGAACACCAGTTGTACAAGGCAGCTGGCACCCCTGCTCACCTACCTGGCTATGAGGTAATTGAGGGACAGCCTCAGAATCGCCAGGAATAGGAACATAGGGATGGCCCAGCCGTGCCACACGGCATTCATGTACACCTGTGGGTGGCAGGCAGGCGGGCAGGTGAGGGGCATGCCTACGCGGCTGGACCCTTGGTTCAGGGCAAGCCACTGCCTCCTCCATTAAGAGACAAAGCCACAGGGGACCGCGTTCAGGCGTGGAGCACAGAGTGCTGGCATCCCATCTGGCTGCCAGTTTGTGTTCCAGTGGCTCCACTTCCAATTCAGCTCCCTGCTCCTGGGAGAGCAGCAGACGACGGGCCAAGCACTTGACCTCTGCACCCATGTGGGCCCCGCTCCTGGGAGAGCAGACGGGCCAAGCGTTCGACCTCTGCACCCATGTGGGCCCCGCCCCCTGGAGAGCAGACGGGTTCGACCTCTGCACCCATGTGGGAGACTCAGTTCCAGTCACTATGGCTACCAGCGCATACAAGTTCTCTTTTGCTCCCATTCTTGGTAACTCTGATGTCCAAATAAATAAATAAATCTTTTTTAAAACAGAGGCAACCCACATGGGAAGGCGGCAGGCCTCACGTGGGCAGGAGGCTGCGCTGCCTGGAAGCAGCTGGGACCAGTAGATGGACGAGAACCCCTGCTGGGCATCCCGCTCTGGCTCCCCCCACCCTGGGGCTCAGCAGCTCTGAATGTGCAGGTGAAGGGCCAAAGGGCCGCTTTCACTCCCACCCTCGGGTGCTGAGGACAGAGCCGATGCCTGCAGGGGACAGGGATGGCCCCACGAGCCCAGGAGGAAGCAGAGAGCGGGGTGGGAACTACGCACGGCTGGCTCCCAGGCAGCAGGGCCTGTGAGGTACCCATGTAAAGCTGGCATCTACCACCATACCCTTAACCAATGAGTGTGCAAGGACCCCACCTCCTTAAGCCGCATGGGGCTTCTGGAAACTGCCTAGAGCCGGGGTCCCCTCAACAGGGGGGCTATCTTCTGGGCCGTAGGAAGGTGGGAGGACGGCCTTGCAGCCTCAGGTCCTGGGCCTGCGCAGCACCAGATGCAGGTGGGAGCAGCTGGGGCAGTGGCGGCATCATTGTGCCTGTGTAGGAGCACTCTGCCACCCTGAGCCCAACAGGCGAGCCAGATGCTGAGCAGGACCCAAAGGTCCCTCCCCAGGGCTCTGTAGGTGGGGGCTGCCTCTACAGAGAGTGGCTGCCCAGGGCCCCAGGGGCCAGGGCCACACCCCATCCAGGGCCCCAGGGTCCAGGGCCACACCCCATCCAGGGCCCCAGGGTCCAGGGCCACACCCCATCCAGGGCCCCAGAGGTCAGGGCCACAGCCCATCCAGGGCCCCAGGGGCCAGGGCCTTACTCCATCTAGGGCCCCAGGCTACTCGCTGTCCTTGGCTGCAGGCTACATCTGTCCAAGGTCCCAGGGTCCATGCCAAGCCAATCAGGTGAGATACTCCCAGCACCCACAGCGCTGCTGTGCCCACTTTACAGGCACCTGTCCCTGGCACTGAAGCCACACGGCCTAGGGGTAGGGCGCTAAGCTGCAGGGCCCACCGCGGTCAGCACTCACCGTGAAGGCTATGGCGGAGGTGTAGACGGAGTACCAGTCCGACAAGGCAGACAGGTTCTTCACGAAGCTCGTGACGGGCTTGGCCCCACGCTCTGCAAGAGGCCACAGCGGTCAGCGGGTGGGCGGCCCCCGACCCACGCCCCCCACAGGAAGTGCACGTCCACTCCCAGGGCCTGGGGGTGCAGGACAAGAGAGCTGCTATCCAACTGCAAGACACACTGAGCAGCCCGCAGCAGAGGCAGCAGAGGGCAGCGGTGGCCGGCCTAGGCACCGCCCTTCTGGGGGGAGCGGGGGGGACGTCCCCTCATAAATGTGCCTCCGTGGGGCCCCCAGCAGCTCGTGCCCCCACCCCCGGTGGGCACCTCGGCCTCACTCACTCAGTCGTCTCATGTTTTCTGTTAACCTGCAAGAGTGGAGAAAGACAGGACCCGGTCAACGTGCTGGCCGGCTCTGTCCTGTCTGGCCAAGGGGGCGGTGTCTGACCTCCTGGAGCCCCAGGACCCTGCCCCTTAAGCCGTGGGAAAGCTCAGGGCAGGTGCAGGGCAGCCCCGGGCCAGGGGCCCTTCCTCCGTGTCCCCGGACACCTGCGAGCGCTCAGGGGTTCCTCTGTCTCCACGGTGCTCTCCTCTGGCTGGAAGCGGAAGTCCTCTACGTACTCCCCAAACTTCTCGTAGAACCACTTCTGCACGCGCGAGGACACGCCCTGGCCCCAGCGGTCTGCAGGAACAGGGTGGGGGCCCATCAGGAGCACAGCATCCAGGGGGAAGGAGCTGTGCCCGGAAGCAGAGCGGACCCGGCTCTCTGACACGGCCTGGGAACACTGTGCGTGGTGGTCGGCTGGGCTGGTCACTTCTCAGGCCCCTGGGCCCTATAGACACTCAGGAGGACCAGTGAGACGGAAGGGCGTGTGTGTGTGTGTGTGAGTGTGAACCTGTGCCAGTGTGAGTGCGTAAGGGTGTGTACACACAGGCACGTGTGTGGGACACATGGGCGTGTGTGCCGTGTGAGCATATGGGCCCCCTACCCAGAGGAGGTCAGGGGAACCCTGCCCCCACTTCCCGGACCTCGGCTGGCACAGAGCCTCGGGGTCTCCTGGTTGGGGACAGAGCCCTATCCCCCCTGGCTTCCCACTGCCCGCTCAGTCCCCTTGCTGGGTGTCCAAGGGCTGTCACTTGCTCTGAGGACTTGGCAGCCATGGACAGGCACTGGCACAGCTCTGAGCCTCTGGGGTGTGCACAGCATTCTGGGATCCGAACCGCCCGCTGCCCGCTCTCCTGCCCATGTGCCGGGCCTACCTGTGCCATTGCTGACAGGGGTCTGTCCTCTTGCTGCCAGCTGGGCCTGGGCCGCCTGCTCCTCGGTTCTTAGAGAACGGAAAGGGGAGAGGCTGTTAGTTCCAACGATGGCATGGGCCGAGCTAGGCAAGCAGTGACACCCGTGGGGGCTGCACCGTAAGGCTGCTGGTGCCTGCTGGTTCCCTGGGACCCCCACCACCTGTGTCCTTACTGGCAGGGGTAGGGCCAGCACAACCCTGTTGGCACATACTTTGTGTTTTAATAAATGAGTGCACACGTAGCCACAGGTGCCCGACTACATCCATCACCGTGACACACAGTGCGTGCCACACCAAGGCCCCAGGTTGGGTCCTGGTTCCCCGCCAGCTGCGCCTTCACTGTCGTGGGCACCAGGCCTCTCTGGCTGCATGCCCTGAGCGAGCTCTAGCCCGGCAGGTCCCTTGGGGGGGGTCCCTTGGGATGCACAGTCATCACCTCTCCACACTGGACAGATGAGACACGGCTGCTCCTTGCCCACAGGAGCCCTGGAGACTGGGGTGGAGCCAGAAGGGGCCCAGAGGGACCTGCAGTCTTCAGAAGGGGGAGGGGGAGGGGCAGGAAGTGTGGCTCCCATTATATTTGCATCCTGGGAGCTCACACCCACAGCCCCATGAGCCAGCTGGGCTCGCGCCTGCCACTGTCATCTGTCAGTGCCATGCTGTGTGGGGGCACAGAGCGTGGGGTGCAGAACTGGCACCTGGCCAGAGTGGCAGCCTCACTGACTGGCAGATGGGGGGACTCCTAGGAGGAGGTTCCCAGGAGTGGGGGACACATCATGGAGAAGGGGCTGGGCCTCCACACACCCACAGGAAGCTGCTCCTGTGACCATGAACACAGCCAGGGCATGCAGGAACCTCAGAGCAAAGAGGGGGCCTCCGTGGCAGGCAGAACAGGATGTCCCTGGACTGGCCAGCACTTCTGGGACAAGCACCTCAACCAGGAGGCCCTGGATGCCAGCTCCTGCCAACACCCGAGCCCAGGCATGCCTGGCGAGCGTGCACACATAACTTGTCATTTGGTCCCTGGCTCTGGGATTCGAACCTATCAGAAGCCTCCACTGGGCTGTGCAAGTGACCTCAGGGGAGGGGCCGCACGTGGGAGCAGGTGCTCCAGGTTGGGGTGAGCAACACGCTTCCTGAGTACTGATCAGGGACAGGGTGGTGGGCTCCAGCAGGGCAATGGGCTCCGGAGCAGGCTCCTGCAGGCCCCAGCAGGGCGGTGGGCTCCGGAGTAGGCTCCCACAGGCCCAGACACCCTTGGGGTCAGCTGTATACCATCTGCCCTCATCCAGGGAAGACCCTCAGGTTTTCTGAGTGGTTCAGATGACTGCTGATGCTCAATGATTAACCACACACACTCACTGGGTGAAGTGCCTGTGCCGCCTTAGGGTGTCTGATACCGCCTGCACAGGATGGACTGCAGCTGGCTCAGGCCTGGAGCACTGGAGCACCCAGCGCAGAGCTGGGGGGCAGACACCGACACCTGACAGGCTCCCCTGGCTCTCACCTAGGCACCAACGGCCAACAGGACCCTCGCTCCCATCTGGGCACCGATGCCAGACAAGCCCCCTGGCTTCTATCCTGGCACCAACAGCCAACAGGGCCCTGGCTCCCATCTGGGCACCAACGGCCAACAGGCCACCGTTGGTCCCCATTTACAGCCCCTCCTAGACCCTGCAGAGGCCCTAGCCCGGACACCTGACGCAGCACAGAGCTGGCTGGGTGCCCTGCACTCTCCTCCAATCTTCCTAACCCTGGGGCTGCCAGGAGCCAACGTTGGGGTGGGGTGCACCCCAGTGGGTGCAGCCAGCTCACAGACTTGTGGGAAACCCAGGCAGCTTTCATGCAGCTCCAGTCCTGCAAGTGGGGAGGGCGTGCACCCATGGACACAGCACGCTGACAACGGGGAGATGTTCCAGGCATTTTCTTAATTCAAAGTCCACTGTGTGTGCACGTATGTGCATGTGTGTGCACATGTGAGCACGGTGTCATGTCTGTGCCTGTTAGCCCTGGTGCGTGTGCGTGTCAATTCTGAAGTGTAATGTGGTACATGCCCATGTGCAAGGCTTCCAGAAGATTCCAAGGCCCTCCCCCCATGAAGCAGCCATCTGGCCCCGGGGCCACTTCTTCCTGGGCTGCAGCCTGAGCATTCTTTGCTGTCAGCCTGAGCCGGTCCCCAGGGAGAGCCCATGCAGGTGTCTCTGCATCCTCAAAACTGACCCGGGGTCAGGCACAGCACCCACTAAGGGGCACTGCGAAAGACGGCCACGCGGTAGGGCAGGGGGGCAGGATGCAGGGGCCAGGGGGCAGGCAGCTGTGGGCAATGCTGGTGACAAGGCTGGCCTCAGGCTGTGCACGCTGCCCAGTGTCGCCAGGGGGAGCTCTGCCCCAGGCAAAGCAGCTGCCCAGGCCTGGCTCCCAGGGAGGCTCGCAAAGGCCCACCCTGCGGTTCTGTGCCCCCAGGCTCAGGCATGCGCCCAGCCTCCAGCCAGCAGAGGGCAGCAGAGCGTGGCTACTGCCTCTCCAGATGGGTGGGGCCCAAACAGGGCAGTATGGCCAGGGACATGGGGGACACGGGGGACATGGAGATGACTTGGGGCCTTCCTCCCAAGGCACGGCCGCCACATGCCATGCAGAGGGACCAGGGCCCATGGAGGGGGTTCTGCAAGGGTGAGAGTGACCAAGCCGGCAGAGTGGACGAGGCAGGTGTGTGTGGGCGCTCAGGGCTGGGCCCAGGCAGGCCACAGGAGCCCGGGCAGGCGGCCACTCCCCCGCAGCAGGGCTCTCCTCGGGCCCCTCTGAGGCCAAGGTGAACGCTCCTGAGATGCAATGCGTGCAGCAGAAGCTGGGGCAGATCCGGGGCTCCCAGGCGCTCCCCCCAGCCCGTGGGTTCCCCTCACCTGGCCCGCAGCACCTCCTGCACCTTCTGCTCCAGCTCCACCCGCCGCTGTCGCTCCCGCTCCAGCTCCTGCCGCAGCGTCTCGGAGTTGGTCTCTTCTCGCAGTTTCCGGAGCTCCTCCTCTGTGGGGAGGGCAGAGTGGCCAGGTGACCCCTGTGCACACCCACTCTGCCCTCGCACCCCCGAACCACAGCAGAGAGCAAACAGGAGGACACAGGGTTCGGGGGCAGCAGAGGCCAGGGTAGCAGGTGGCATCCTTAGGGAAGGGGTGGGCAGAGGGTGGGCTGGGGCCGGCTGTCCGAGCCACCTGAGGGTCCAGGGCAGAGGGTGGCCGGGAGGACATAGTGGGGCCACAGCCCAGTGAGGCCCCAGGTGCCTTCCCAGCCCGTCCATGTGCTGGGTCACCAGCCCGCTGCCCTTCTGCCTTGAGTCTGGCTTTCTGCAAGGCCTGCGCAGTGGCCCCTGCCTCCCGACACGGCCTCCCAGCTGCTCCCACACATAGTAGCTGCTGGGTGGGCAGCTCAGGGCAGCCAGGGCAAGGCACCCACCAGAGCCAGCACACAGAGGGGTGGGTCAGGGGTCTCTCCACGCTGCAGCCCTCACAGGAGGCAGCCCAGGACAGACGCCAGGGAGGAGGGTCCAGGCCAGAGGGGTGCCCACAGTGACCCCGACATGGATGTGTCTTAGAAGTCACGAGGACACTGTGGGCGGGGCTCTGCACTCCAACGGGAGCCTGCTGACTGCCGCCCCCCCACTCGCAGCATCCCTCAGCTGCCCCAGGAAACACCAGGGGAGGAGGGAGGAGCAGCTGCCCCCTGCTCACCAAGGGGCACGGCCAGAGTGTTCCTGTGGCAGCCGCGTCCAGGCGGAACCGGGCTCCAAGGACCCTTCTCCAGCGACACTGGGGGCCACCCCCTGCTCCCCGCCACTGGGGCAGCTGAGCAAACACGGAGCACAGCCCAGGGATGAGGTCAGGAAAGTGCAGAGGGCAGCTCGCTGGCCAGCAGTGCCCGCCAGTGCCCGTGTAAGTCACCTGAGTCCTGCCTCCACGCAGAGGAGCCCTGGCTGGGATCCGAGCTGGCCCTGGTTCCACGTGACAGCTCAGCACCCGTCCCAGCTACGCAGGCCACCTGACCCATCATGGGGTGGACAGCCACGTCGTTACAAACCGGAACCCGGAAGCAACAGTCACACTTGCCAGGTCCTATCGGCCCACCTCCCTCTGTGGGAAGAGTCGGCCAGGTGAGACCCTCTTTAGCCGGGGCCAGAAGGGGGCATTCAGGGTGTCAGGAGCAGCTTCCCCTCCGGTCCTGGTCCCCCTCACCAGACCTGAGGATGTGACGCCGAGCTGGAGACCCTGAAGTGCAGGTCAAGGTCAGCACAATGACCCCAGGCCGGCAGACACCTAGGAGGATCTCCCACAAGACTCAGGGACCCCGTCTGGGCAGAGCGCGGCCAGCGTGCACGCCGGGAGAGGCCGGAGGTCAGGAAGCGCTTCTGAAAATATTTAGACGCGCTGAGTGCCGGGCCCCTCTGCTGAGTAAATATTTAGAGTGCCTAGAGCCCTCCCTGTCTCTTAAGCGGGGCCAGCTCAGAGGGACCGGGGCTGGCAAGCCTACAAGGACAGCCACGGTGCTCAGTGCAGGCTCCCTGTCTGCTCCTGGGTCCTCCCAACCCCTGGAGTGTGGAGCCCACTTGGCTCCCCTGGCCACGGGGCAGTGAGCTGAGGCCAAGGACATCTGCAGAAAGCCAGGCTGGCGCACGCTCACCCAGAGCTTACAGGCAGCCAGGAGTGGCTGTTCAATACGCTTCTCCCAGGGCGTACCTGACCAGGCAGGTTCAAGGGTTAGGGGAACAGACACCCGTGGTCCTCAGGATGCTGCAGGTGCTCGGGGCTCAGCAGGGTGCGCCCGCGGGACCCAGCACAATGCCAGGTCCCCGTTACCTGAAAGCTTCTCTGACTTGAGCCCCCACCTGCCAGCAGGTGCAGGAGAGACACCCTGTGCCACCAGCTGTCTGCTCCTGGCCCAGAGAGAAGCCACAGGACACGGAGAGCAGACAGTGGGATGGGGGATAGCACACACAGTGCCGGGGGCCGACTCAGCAAGCCACACCTTGCAGGAGACGGGGCACTGGGCAGGGGAGGGTTCGCACGGGCCTCTGGCACCCTGGCCATCTGAAGGTTGTCTGCCCCAGCCTCATACCAGGGACCCCAATCCCGAGCACTCCAGGCAGGTGGAGTCCTGCACGCTGCAGGGCGCACAGCCTGACACAGCAGCCTACGCCCACAGGGTCCTGTGAGGCCTCCTGCTGGCCCTGCACCAGGGCCCGAGTGTCACGCACTGGCCCCAGCCATGTGCTGGGGACAGCACCCTGCCTACAGGCGATGACTGGGTTTCTCCAAGGGCGGAATCGAGCAAACACGCTTCGCCCAGGAAGAGCCCAGACTGCGCCTGGCCTGGCCAACACAGAAGGGGCCCCGGCCCCTCTACAGGGCCTCACAGCACCAGCAGCAGTCTGGGCCTCCCCAAGTCGTGCCCATTCTTAGCTCACCGGGGACAGCTCTCCTGTCCCCTCCAGGACACCTCCCCAAAGCCTGAAAACCGCTGGCCTGGGCCGGGGCAGGCCAAGCCAGCCCGAGGCTCCGACACAACCAGTGCTCCATACCCCATCCCACGGCTGCAGCCCCAGCCCCACCTGCAGGGCAGCCCTGTTTGTCACACAGGGAACCACGCTTGCCTCCCTCAGAGCCACCCTACACGCCACTTCCGGGTGTCCTGCAACCCTGAGGCTCAGCTCCCGCCCAGCTCATCACACAGGATCCTGGTGGCTGCTGGCAACCCCAGGGACACACAAACCCCTTCCTGAGACCCGCAGGACACACTGTGCCCATCTGCTGCTGTGGGCCTTGGGGTGCAGGGACAAGAACCTGGGTCTCCCTGGCATATGCCAGCTCAGCCCTGCAGGGAGCTAGGCACACCCACAGCCCAAGCTGCCCACACTTCTGCCCTGTCCCTCCCTGGCAGGAATGTGGCCTCACCACCTCTGGCCCCTGATATCACCCACAGCACCCAAGGGCCATGCCACACACAGGGCTGACGTCCAGCTATGACAGGAGACCAGAGCCCTGTGGGCAGTCCGGTCCTTCAGTGGCTCCCCCAGGGCCCAACACGCTGTGAGGGGCTCACGAAGGGGCTCCCTCAGAGAGCCCAGCTGCCATCAGGGGCTCCCCCAGAGCCCAGCTGCCATCGGGGGCTCCCTCAGAGAGCCCAGCTGCCATCGGGGGCTCCCCCAGAGCCCAGCTGCCAGCGGGGGCTTCCTCATAGAGCCCAGCTGCCATCGGGGGCTCCCCCAGGGCCCAGCACACAGCATGGTTGGCCTTCTCCGGGGTGCTGGACCTCAGCCCGCAGCTGCTCACAGCGGGTGGGCAGAGCAGACCCTCGGCCGTGCCCCTGGGTCTAGCACCCTGGCCACCTGCTGCCCGCAGCCCACGGGGAAGTCACAGGGAAGGAAAGCAGCTCCAGCTCTGTGGCTATTTTTAAACGTGCCGAAGTGGCGCTCGCAGGCAGGACTCCTCTTGGCACACAGCTCCACAGACCCAGCCTTGGCCAAAAATAAGAATCAGATGATACTCCTTTAAAGATCTGCCCACCCAGGCCCGGCGCGGTGGCGCAGTGGTTAAGGTCCTCGCCTTGCACGCCCGGGATCCCATATGGGCACTGGTTCTATCCCGGCAGCTCCACTTCCCTTCCAGCTCCCTGCCTGTGGCCTGGGAAAGCAGTCGAGGACGGCCCAAAGCTTTGGGACCCTGTACCCACATGGGAGACCCGGAAGAGGCTCCTGGCTTCAGATCGGCATAGCATCGGCCATTGCGCTCACTTGGGCAGTGAATCATCGGACGGAAGATCTTCCTCTCTGTCTCTCCTCTCTGTATATCCGCCTTTCCAATAAAAACTAAATCTTTAAAAAAAAAAGACCTGCCCACCTGGCCGGCGGCTGCCTCACGCCCGCCCCTTCCCAGGCCCCGCCCACCACCCTCTGAGGATCCTTCCAGAAGCTCACTGATGAGCCACAAGTTGTCCTGCTAGGCCCATGCCATCATGGTCAGGGACCAAGGGAGGCAGGGGCCGTGACCCCTTCTGCTTGGGAAAGCCGGACAGGACAGGAAGTGCCTGCATTTTCGCCTGGACTGACTCCCTGCAGCGTGTTTACTGTTACACACAGGCAATGTTTATGGAGGAGCAGCAGGCTGCCAACAGCCATGGGACCGCGCGGCAAGCAGGGGGCAACGAGGCCTGGAGCACTGGGTGCCGGCGGCTGTGGCCGGCCACGTCCCTCGGTGGGCTCTGGCAAAGGATTACAGAGGCAGAGTGGACATGTGACACATTCAAACTGTTCCCATGCATTAAAAATATAAAAAGGTCGAACCATCCAGCCAGTCCCCACCTAGCAGGGCCGACTCTCAGGAACCCATGCCGATGCTGCAGATGCTGGAGACGCAAGGTGTCTGTACCCACAGTGGCGTTCTGGTGCGGCTCCCCCTTCATGCCATTCAAGGACGGCTTTGAGCTGCAGCATGCGCACTCCACACTGCCTGCCCGCCGGCTGGACCCCGGGGCCCAGCACCAAGCGGGGACTCACACTGTCCCACCCTGTAGCCGGCAGCCGGCCCCTCCTGACCCGGAGCAGCCGGCTCTCTGATGAGCACCTGCCTTAACTCCCTCCCTGGCCAAAGGGGCCGGATCCCAAGGCCTTGAGTGCAGAAACAGCCCCTGCCAGAGGAGGGCACCCAGGGAGGCTGGGCTCAGGGAGCCAGGAGGACCTGCAGCAGGACACGCCCACTGGGACACAGGGCATCGTCCACTGACCTCGGCCTGATCCGTCGTTCGCTCACAGACCACAGGCTGTGGTGCCACCTGTCCCCTCTCAGACCAGCCGCTCAGCAGAAGAGCTTGGGGTGAACAAGCAAGGGCTCCGACCTGCAAGGACACGGTGCCCAGCACTGCCCATGTCCCACTGGGCAGCCTGGCCTCTGTAGGTGGGACCATGGGGAAAGTGGCAGAGAACAAGATCTCGCTGTGCCTCTCAAAGCAGGGAGCACACTCCACTCTCAGCCCACAAA